CTCCGTAAATAATCCAATCCAAAAAATAACAAATAATATCCTTACATTAGAATAATATTTGTGAAGTGTCATATTGTGTTCGACTGCTAAATGCAATTAACTGCAATACGGAGTCACGAATGGAATTGCGACCTAGCTGTGAAAAACACATTTTTCAACAACAACGAGAATATTATTATTATTTTGTATTCTAGATTAAATCGTTTCATATGCCATTAAGAGTTCACAATTAAATCGTTTCATATGCCATTAAGAGTTGGATATTATTATTATTATCAAGGAGAACGTTATCATTATCATGAGCTGTGCGTATCTCAGAGCTAGTTTTCATTTTCTATTCGGTTTTCTTTTTAACAATTAACTCCTTTCATATGCCATTAGGAGTTGGGAGAGTGTCGGTGTATTGTCTGCCGTCTTTATAATCTACCAATCGCATAAGATTTCGAAAGTAATTGCTCATCGTCAGCAATGTGCAATGCGATTCGTGGCGACTTCACCGCTGGTGGATGTCGTTTGATATTGGTGCAATGTGTGATATTCAAACGTACTATAATTCTTTTGTTCAATTTTCAGCCCTGGCACACTCGAGGAATGCCTAGAGCATGACTATTCAGAGCTGTATGATTCGCATAGGTATAATCCCAGCGGAATATCGGTGATCGTTATTCATTTCACATAAAATTTTACAGATGGGTAAAGGTGCCAAGCAACAGAAAGCTGTTACCAAGATCAAAAACAAGCAAAACAAGAAAGTGATTCAAAAAATAAAGACTTTAAAAAAGAAGGGCAAATTGAAACGTCATGTATTCGAAGAATATCGAGATATCGACGCCAGGAAACACGCCGCAGCTCGACAAAAAATTGCTGATGTGAGTGTTAACGTTTCCTTTTTTTTTGCATCCATTAGTTTTGATCTGCCATGTATTAACACGATCTATTGCTGAATGATCAAATGATCTATCAAATGATCTACATTGAGATCATATGTGCCTTACTGCTACATGGTAAATCTGTTTTGAATTATCAGAAAGTTTATACGAAATTGATGAAGATATCATTGAATAAGCAGATGAAAGATAACAGTGAAAGAGACCGAAACCACTGATCCAATAAAAGCTCTTGCAATCGCACCACCTAGGAGATTATGGAAAACTATGGAAATAATAAATTTCATTTTAATGATAACAATAGGTGGAAGAAGATTGGAAATATGACAGAGCATTTAAAGAGGCGAACGATGATGATGACGATATCCTGCCGTTGGATATGCTCGACGCGGATATTGATTGGGAAAATAGCGCATTTGCAAGTAAAATGAAACGAATCAAAATTGGTATTGATATCCTAAATTATTCATTTGATTGATTGAATGTTAAATAAGGCACACATAAAGAGATTTACGGTTGCTTGTACGATTCTTAAGAAATGTTGAGTTGTTGATATTTGAATTTGGTTTGCAAAAAATTGGGAATTTCGATTCTGAGTAAATTCAGAGAGTAGGTGTTGTCGAATCATGAATCAGTTGGTCGGTATGATGTGAAATGAATTGCTCTAATGAATTGTTTAATACTTGAAGAAATGGAAGAAGACAGTAATTGTGAAACAAACAATGATGATTTGGAACTGAAACCAAGGCATTTCGAAGGAGAACTCGATAGTGATCAAATTGAATTGTTACCGATTAAAGTTGATGGCAAATTGGTGAAACGATCCCGAAAAATCAGTGAGGAGTTAAACGGTGAAAATTAGATTATTAACACCATGTTATACATCCTCACAGTAATACCATCTTATATATATTATTATTCATTCGTATCATTACATTGTTAAGATCATGCAAGGTTTT